CATGGCAGCAATTTGTGGGAATAATTTGGCCTCACGTCTAGATTGTACAGTTTTATATCAGGCCTTTGTGCTGCAGGGCGAGTTTCTATCTCACTGTGATGAGGAAGTTTGTCGCTGTATTGTGTCTTCTTCTCTGTTTTTCCATCACTGATTTTTAAGATGCATATGCTGTTTTCTGCACTTTTCTCATTTTAGACGCCACCGTTTCTTTCCATGTTGTCAGCAGGGTGTTTCCTTGTTCAGCCCTGGTTTTCTGTGTGAATCACAGTCCGCCAGATCCTCCCTGTGCACTGTCCGTGTGTTTGTATTAGGACGGCAATTAATTACTGATTTAGTTTGTGATGACTTGATTATTCTTTCAGCCAGAAGAATGTCGGAAAATTGGGAGAATGCACATTTGAAATTATGAGAAATGTACATCTTCAAACAATAATAATCAATCTGCAGTGATATGAAACAGAAGAAGCGGCCAGATTTCTTATTTGAGAAGCTTTTTTTTTTCTTTTTGCATAATAAATGAATGAAGATAAGACTATTACAGATTAGTTTTCTGTCAACAACCTTACAGATTAATAGACACATGATGTAAACTCTGATTTGTTTGATTCTGGTGCTTGGTTCTCCCACATAAAGACCGACTGTAGTATACAGCGGGCATCAGACTGGATGCATGCAGTTGCTCACGTCTTCTTCTTTTATATGTGTATGTACAACTTGTAAGACATTTTTTTCCCTCTTCTCCTCATGTTTCAACAGGAGTTGCAATAACTGCTACTCTTGTTTTTCAGACACATTGTTGACATTTCTAGCGCTGGTTGGCTCCTCAGTGAGTCTCTGCCCACCTGCTGTTACACATAACACCCTTCCAGCTTTAGATCCAACTTTAAAATCTGGGAAAGGCAAAAGAAAAACACCAGAATTTTAAAACATATCACCTCCTCTTACAGCTTCTCCCCCCCCCTGCCCTCTCTGCTTGAAGCCCCTCCCATAAGATGAGCACACAGACTAACAGTAAGCATTCATTCATGGCTTGATTTAACCCCTTTCTGCAGTGACAGTCCAGCTAAGCCATCATGCCACTCTACCCTAATGTCTCTCTGGACTTGCTATTTATACTACTCCTCCAGTTTTGGGAGAAAGCTCTGTGATTTTATAGATTTTCTTAAGTCTGTACAGCAGATCTAGGATGAGCAGAAGCCTGTCACTTGAACTGCAATACGCTAAAAAGTTTGGAATTTTTACCCAGTGTACCTCATCTGTAAACCACACAACACACATATATGCATGCGTACATTAAGCCTGGATAATATGTCCTTGCAGATGCACAGTCGAGGACACCACGGACAGTTAGTTGTTAATTTACTACTTTGTAATCCATCTGAAGGAGTCTGTTCCACACATGTGCAGCATATCTGCAACTACATATTCCATACTCTGCCCAGTGTTATACTTTCCACATCCACAAGCATCCTGTTCTATAGGGTCTAAGTGACATCAATTCTATCATCTGCAAGAGCCCACACAGACCCTTCTACAGATGTATGCATGTTTGCAGACCCTGATCTACGTGCATGTGTGCAACAGATTTCTCCAAACAGGCTAGAAAGGAGGTTAATGCCAACAACAATGTGTCTTTTGTGTCCGCAGTTGTCCACGTGTGCATCCATAAGTGAGTATAATCACGACTTAATGTTTTTATTGTTGTTCTATTGTCGAAGCAGCAGTGTGTCATGGAGGATTTATTCTAAACCAGAGCTCAGAACCTACTCGTGGGTCAGAGGACCTGCAAAGTATCTTGTGATCTATGTGTTTTTTAATGTGGTTAATACAGTAAAAGATGTTCAAATTGGACACTTAAACATATTCACCGTTATACAAAGAGCGATTTGTACATCTGTTGTGGGTCGCAGTGTCCATGCCATCGTCACAGTTTGTGCTTCACACTAAATAGTAAGCCTCGCTCTTAACCCAACAAACTACGCAAAACATCTTTACTCCACATGTTCTTCACACGTGTCCATAGTTTACGTCCCATCTGTCAACAGTTGTGATGCATCTGAATTGTCTGGACCGGCCCCTGTGAAAATGAGTTTGTCTCCAGGTTTGTTCCCTCGAGCTTTGGCCTTAAAGGGAGGCAGCGGCGGGGGAGAGGAAGTCTGAAGAAAAAGTGATAATGAACTGACTTGAGGCCTAGTTTCTATTTTGGTTGGAAATTGGTTTGTCTAAATGGGGTGAGTCAGAGGAACTGCACGGTGAAGACAGATGGAAGCACAGTGTGAGAAAGAGGAAGAAAATTCTGCGGCTGGCTGCTTTTTAAACCTTTCCATCTAAGAATAAATTAAAGGTCAAAAAGAGACAAGGCTGCATGTTGGCGGTAATTTGGGGACCGGACACGAGATGCTTGAGAGAGACCGGTAAGGGGCCTCCTGGGGATGGAACAAGTCTTTTAAAAAGCTGGAGTCATAAAGGAGAGTCACCCTGCGCACGACGGGCTGGAAAATGTGCAGTCAGATGTGTTCATAAGTTGCTTTTTGTGTCGTCAAAGACATTTTAATTGTTCCAGACACATACGGCATAGTTACACTGGTTCTTTTTTGTTCATTTCTTAAAACGACCGGCCCCATTTACATGTGACACCAGCTTTTGCTTTGTTTTACACTTCAATTACAGACATAAACGCAATTTTTCTGGAGGGTAAATGCAAACCAGACTACCTGGTATGCTGTTGGAAAAGATTTACTTTATCTATGTACCTCACTCATGTATTAAACTGGATTAACACTAAGATACATCCCATCACCTGCACAGTAAACATGACTTTCAACTCCGCTGTTGACTTGGCTATATGGATACCAACATCAGTCTGTTGTTGGTCTTGTGGTGTACACTACTTCTGTAGGTCTCACACACAATTGTATTATTTTGAAGGGACAACAGGGGTAAAGTTAAAAAAAAATTTGGGGAAAGTGGATGTGGTGGTAAAAACTTCTAACTGTTAGAGAAGTCAGTCAGTCTTGCTGTAAGTGGAGTCAAATAAAGGAACAGAGACTCAAGCTCATCTCTCGTCTCTTTCTATTGCGCAATATATCTCAACAACCACCCACAACCTCTTAAACTGGTTATCAAAACATTTGTTCACATATATACAGTCCCTGGTCTACAACATCATGTCACTGATGGAGAATGGTCTGACTTCACCCATTATCATTCTGCTGTAGGGTAAAAACATTCTAGTGTGTTTGTATTTCTTGAAATCAACTTTCGGAGTGCTAAGCCCAGGATGCAGAGATGGTGCCCCTGACAAATAGTGTCTAGAGGAAGTTGTTTTGATGGAACATGCTTGGAAAATGAAACTTTTTCCCTAACCGATCGGAAAACACATAAGGATGTCCCCGTTCAACAGCAAATGTTATACACAAAACCAAAGAGGCCTGTCTCATAGCACGATATAACTCTTTGTGAAAACTTTTTAGCATGTAGATTTCTAGCACAAAGTCTGTTGTTGTTGTTTCTCATAGCGAAGTGGATTTTGAAAATGGTAAGACACAGATAGTGGGAGCAAAAGGAGAATGTTGCATGAAATGCACAGCCAGTGGCAGGCATATGTTTGAGGTCTACATCCGGTGAGTCAGACTACAGGCATGCATAGCAGAGCAGCGCCTTCTTATACACATACCATCATAACATGTGGTGTGCCAGAATTTTATTTTTTTTGCATGTCCTAATACATATTGTGTCAAATGCAGTATGACAAACATTCCAGGATGTGCTACTACACCTGTGGTCACTTTGTGAGCCACTGTGCTTTTCTGGTGAGTCTGACTCACAATCTCCTGCCTGTGGAGCAGAACACATTATATTTGAGACATTTAAATCACAGAGTCCACAACTTTTTCTTTTTTCCAAGCCAGACTCTTAAACCTTGCATGTCGTTCAACAACATTCATTAGAATATCAGGTGGAATAAACAGTATTTTGTCTTCTGCACTATCAGAAGGATTAAACATTTTTAGAAACCAAACAAAGACGGCAGCTGAAGGATTAATATGCAAGTGAATAATGAGGTGAAGTGTAGAAATGTTTCACTTGTGGCTGCGATTTTTGTTTGAAAAGAGAAGACTTGAATTTTATATGCTGTGTTAAAAGGATGTGCAGCAAAAGTGAACAGTGGAAGAGTCTTTGAGGTTTCTGGAAATCCATTTAAAAAGACTAAGAAGTGGTGTCAAACAGCCTGCAGCGCTGATCAAAGTTTGCCTCACAATTTCTGCTTCGGAAACACAGATTCTAAATCTGTAACTCAAATGTAGTCTTAAGCTTAAGTCTCAAATGTAAAAAAAAAACTATGATTACATGAGAGCTACTCCCACTGTGTCTGAATCTAAATCTGTCTTTTTCGGAGCAGGTGAGCGTGTTTGTTCGCTGCATGAGCCGCTCCGTGGAGGCTCTCAGCAACAGCAGATGACACCAGACGTTAGCGGCTCTGCCAAGGCCCCCTCGAAGTGGGCCAAATGAAAAAATAGAGGGAGCAATCAGTGTGGTCCCATGATTCCTTGTGAGCTGTGACGAAATGACAAGCAGAGCCAGTTTCACATCACACACACACACACACACACACATTCTCACACCTTCTTTACATGTCCTTGCTGGCTCAAAATACAGAATCTAATTATTCCTGTTAACCGCCAGGCGCTTGAGCTGACTCACTGTAGAGAGCCGTACTGTGCATATGGACACACACACACACATGGAGGCACACATGTACACACTACTGACCCTCCCCGTACTGTAGCACTCTGACACACACATGCGCACACTTACTCATACAAGTGCTCTCCAAACAGCACACTCTCACTTCAGCTTTGCACAGGATGTTATGAAATCAGCACTGTTGCTGAAACTTAGTGAAGGTTGCTGGGAGTCCTCTCTCTCACCCACACACACACACACTTCACCTGGCACTCACACACACTCACACACACACACATTCTCGTGCAGAGAGCTGAAGCTCGGCTCAGTCCTTGTCCTCTCCTGCTCGTGCGAGGAGCCTCCCGGTGATCGGACTGTCGCCTGAAGCGAAGAGGCCGAGCCGGCGTTGATTCAATTTTACAGCCCAGTCACCCTATCTGAAGCTCTGATTAGGCAGCCGAGGGAGAGGAGAAGAAGAAGAGGAAGAAGAGGAGGAGGAATAGTGATGGCTATGACCGACATTGCAGAGGATGACCTGGATGAGATGATGCGCGAGGAAGCGGAGGATGCCTTCTACGAGGACGGTAGGGTTGCCAAGAGTTAGTTGTGAAGTGCCGGGAGCAGGCGTGGGTTTTCCAGGTGGGCAGCAGGGCCGAGACAGCTGCTCCAGGATTGGTCAGAGCGGTTGGTTTGTGACTTTTTGGTTGAGAAAAGGGTAAAAGCGACGGCTGACGGGGGGGCCCAGAGGGATCTCCTCAGCTGTGTGGGTGGGGTTGTCTACTTCATGCATGAGTACGCTCTGATACTCTGACACAGATGCTAGCAATAAAAAAACCCCACAAGATGTTAATTTATCTGAGTGAAGAGGAGGAATAAAAGCAGATATATGGGACTATAGTGAAAGTCATACCACTGGTGACACGTGCATTGATTATAATCATTAGCGAGCCCTCCTTCACGCTTCATTTCGTCTCCAGTTCCCCTCCTGCAGGAGCGGCTCTCTGCAGAGTTTGTTTATCGATTTTTTAACTTTTGCCCTTTTTAGAAAGCTGCGAGGAGGCGTGCCCTCTGCCGTGTGGGCGTTCTTGTGTAACAGGCAGATGTTTTTAACCGAGCATGATGTGCCACAAGAAAATCTTTGCAGCGTGCACTTTGTGTGAGTATTTGTTATTTTAAAACCAGCTGTAATCATAAGCTGTGGTCAGCTGGATACTGGGAAAGTAGCAGAATTACAGGAGGCCCCGACTGATGATTATTCACGAGTGGAAGAAAAAAATACTGTCAGATTGTTTATTTCATGTAGCCACAATAAAACTAACCTTGAACTGAGACTGACACATAGGCTGTAGAGAAAATGATGCTTCATAGATCACAGCACTTCATATTGTGTATCTTCTGGTACACAAGGAATAGTAATAAATATTTGTTTTCTTTCCATCAAACCCCAACCTTTAAATAAAATAAAGCTATAATTTGGTGATAAATGAGCTTAAAAGGGTCTAATAGGTGCATTTTGTGATATCGGATAGAGCTTAATTAGCTGTCTACTGTCTTTATGCTAAGCTAAGCTAAGCCAATTAGCCGCCAGTAGCATTGATTTTTGCTTTTGGCAAAAAAGCAAATAAATGCACTTCTCAGAACTGTCCTTTTTATTCTGATAAAGCTGCTCCGCTTCCTCCCACTGAAACACACAACAGTGGCAAAATGGTCGATTACACTCATTTTGAACCAATTTCACAGGTTCTCCTCAGTGTGAAATTCACAAATACTCTCTTGACACACACGGTCAGAGCTTTACAAGCGCTCTGCCGTGTTTTATCTCTCAAACTGCTCACAAAAGCGCCGTTTGATTGCACTGTTCACACTAACACCAGGCTATAAATACATTTCTATATATGAATATTAAAGGTCCACGCGGGCTCACGGTGTCGCTCAGCGGCTCCTTGGGTGTCGAGTGGACGGCGAGGACGAGGATACTCCCAGATATTGCATCATTTGGTGCGTAATGTATGTTAATGCCGCCACTGACCCAGTTCTGACTGATATTCGCTGATGGTAACGTGACGTTCCCTTTGAACCACTCAGCCAGGAGCTACGCTGCCAGATGACTCTCTGCAACAAACCAGCCAATCCCCGCGCACACATTCATGTCGAGTTTTGGCCAGCAGGCACGGCGTGTTTATTCATAGACGCAGCTGAAGGTTGCAGAATATGGATCGCTTATATTTTCTGTTCTAATTAGCTCTTTGGATTAGTGATGGAAATTATTCCCTGTGTTTTGTCTTGAATATTCAAGTGTTTCATTCTTGGTGGTGCCGTATGCAAATTTGCTACCACTGGCCTATTTTCTTTCTAAATTATTAGTTTCAGTGGTACATTTGCAAATCTTTTCTACTCACGAAATTAGAGTTATGTGCAGAACGGGCTCAGCGTGAAGCAGGAGATGTGGGATTTTGCAGCATTTATGAGGAATGGCTGTTAACCTGGTGGCCGGAATAACACACGGGGTCAAAAGATGAAGCTAAGAGAACAGTTTGTCAACACATCAGCTGGTCCACATGAGAAAATTCTTTTTCTCTTGTAATATTACCCTCTGAACTCTAAGCAGGTCTTAGGTGTTTTTATTTTTTTGCTCCTGTCACATTTTTACTCACTGTGGGCCCATTTTTCACTGCGACATAAAGTCCTGCACATCTATGGAAACAACACAGCCATGGCTAGAAGATTTTATTATAATAATTAGAATTAGAATAAAATTATTGTGTCAGAAATCCATCCATTATCTATACGCCGCTCAATCCTCACTAGGGTCGTGGGGGGCTGGAGTCTATCCCAGCTGACATAGGATGAAGGCAGGGGACACCCTGGACAGGTCACCAGTCTATCACAGGGCTACACTTAGAGACAGACAACCAAGAACACTCACATTCACACCTACAGACAATTTAGAATCACCAATTAACCTCAACATGTTTTTGGACCTTGTGGGAGGAAGCCGGAGAACAGCCGGAGCAGAAAGATCCCGGGCATCCTCACCGGGACACGAACTGCTGACCTTCTTGGTGCGAGGCAACGATGCGAACCACCTTTCCACCTTGCAGCCCTGTAATGGAGCATATTTTTTAAAAAATAACAAAGATAACGTGCATTTCAAGCTTAGGTTTTGGTGTTCAGAGCATTAACGCCAATCCTGACTGCAGAGGGCAACAGTATGTCAAACACAAGCCAAAGGGGTTAAAAATTCTGCACTTGCCTTTTTTTTTTCTTTGCCAGCTACAAATGAGAAGCCTGCTTCTGTCTATTTCTGTCTTAGATAAAAATCCATTTTGTCAGTAATTACAAAGAATTTCAAGCGTATATCATGCTACTGTTACCATAGTAAAAAAAACAACATGTGATGTAAGGAAAGTCTGCTGTAAGAATAGCAGCAGAGGGCTGAACAAATGCCCATCTGACAGCTCATGAACCTGAACAATGATGGTGAAAGAAAAGTCTCTCGTTGTGTAACAGTCTGTGTAGAAATAGCAGAAAAAACGCACGTAATATAGTTTTTTTATTGTTAGGCTAAAGGTAAGAGAATGACAAGAATGCAGCACAGACCTCAGGTTGGGTTGTGTGTGGCACAGTTAGTCCTGCTTGTCATGCTTCTGCTGCTGCAGCGTTGAGCTGAATTATGACTAAAGGAGGACTACTTTTAGCCTGGCAGCAGAAATGTCAGAGTGCCTCAACAGAGCAGAGCGACAAACATTCTCTCTCCCTCCCTTTTATTCTGCTTCTCCTCCTCACTCTGTGATTCCGGCTCAGGTCGTATGAATTAGCAAAAAGCCTCGGTTAACTTTACTCTGAGGGGAACAGTGAGTTTCAGCTTCGTACCCGCCTCACTTCGTCACGTTATTTGGAACAGAAACTCAAAGTGGCTCACCGTGAAACTTTTGAGCACATGTTGACTGAACACATGTCAAAAAATATATTCTCTCACCCACTGTTGAAGTAACCTGCTTCCAGACCTTTAAGTCGCTGCCCACATCTCATATTCGTTCAACAATTTATACAGGTACATCTGGTGTTGCGTCCAGCGAGAGATGTTTTTCGCTCAGTTTAGAAGCAGTCAACAGAGGCGAGTATCTCAGAACCTCCGCACATAAAACCAGAATCCATGTTTCTGACTCAATAGCAGAAGAAGTAGGTGAGAAAACGTGGTGGTTTGTTGGTTTGTCTTTGTAATTTTTGGTGAACTGACCCTTCCGGGACACGGATCAATATTTTGGATTTTTAGGCGACTGAGATCATACCTGCAGAAGATAAAAAAGTGCTGAATTGATTTTGCAGATACTGTAAAGGCAGCTTTGTTCTGTGTGCATCTGAGGACGGAGCCAGTGCTTTTTGAAGGAGTTTCACAAACTCGTTACTGAGCTACAGGGGAGGTTTTTATGTGCACGTTTGTTCGCTCGCGTTTAATGTGTCACAGTGTTTCGTATGAGACGGGAGATAAGTGTCGCACATGCAGCTCATGCTTCATAATGATGTAAACAAAGCCTCAGTTCGCCCCGATTACCCATGAGCCCCTGCAAATTCACCTCTGTGCGAACCCTCGCTTCTCACAGAAACTACAGTTAACTCCTTAAGTGGCATTACCCACATGAACACACTTTATTCCCTTGTTATCTCATCCTACCACACACGCACACAATCTCCTTTGAAACATTTCTCTGAAGAAAAAAAAAGAAAACAACTGCACCAAATCAAATGAAACAACTTGAGTAAAAGTGCACAGGAGCTCTATTGAGACCAAAACACACACAATGCTTTCTTCAGTTCCTTCTTTCACCTCATGAGTAATTCAGAGAGTCTGAATTTTTGGTCCGTGGTCGTGTGCAAAAGCAAAGTACAAGAGAGCGGTGTGTCCCCGAGGACAGCAGCAGCAGCAGCACCGGGGCTTTAATGACTGTAAAAAAAATAAAACCTAGTTGATCATGAGATCGATGGCGCCGTGGCTGGAATGACTTTTCGCTGTTTGGTATCTAAATAAACCAGTGTTTGTCTAACTGGGTCAGGTCAGAAAGCATGAAGAGCCGCTTTCAGTCGCTGCTGAGGAGTCAGAACAGCGCTCGGCCTTGTAGCCTCTTGATCGCCAGAGTTCAGAGAGCCCAAAAGGGAAATAACTTTTCCTCGGGAATGTCAGTCTTGAGGGTCTTTTGTATTTGCCTCTGTTCCCCTGAACTAAATCACTGCCATCTACTCCAGTTCGTTCTGCTGCTTTTGGAAAAAGCTTATCCGCCGTCTTGCAGGAATGTTTTGTATTGTTCCTCTTTCTTGTGCAATAGGATGCATTTCCACCCCTCCCCTGGCTACCAATTACATGACAAAACCACTAATTGCGGGGCTTAACGCCTATTGTTTGTTTGTTTGTTTTCCTTTGTGCAATTTTTGAAAACTCCCTCAAGCGATACGACGTGTCAATTGCTTTGATTTTACTAGAGTTTTCCCGTTCAGACGCTGGTTCCTCTTCAGATTTTGGACGGAGATGAGGTTGAGAAGCGCAATTAAAGGAGTCCTGAGGCGGGACGATTCTCGTAAGCGTGTG